ACAGTCAAAGTTGCGCGTTGGCAAACGTGAAAGTCAAACTGTTGCAACTTTTATGGAACGGAGGATAGTATGATATGGTAGATTTTTGTTTTACATTTTGTGTTCAATTATTAATAAAGTTTGATCTGATCTGATTTAGTCTGAGACTGAAATCAATCTAATTAAAAACATCTTAAGAGTAAACAAAATTAGGAATTTGTAAACATATAAAGATTTCCTAATTTAGATTAGGAATCAATCTATTTCAAAAGTGGCGGAATCTATAGTCATTTGTTTCCATATCAATATGCAATAAAAAATAAAATCCAATAAAAATAAAAGGTACGGAGTATAAAAATAACTAAATAATTGTTATATATGATAAATGACATAGCATGATTATGTGGCACTTTGTATGCTCTTAAAAATTCCTCTTATATATATTGATCGTCCCTCACATTTCTTTTATAGCACACTACAAATTATTTTCAGACTTTTAACTTTTCACTTGTAACTTTTATATTTCAAAAATAACTTATCAGCTAAAAGCCTAAAACTAGAACCTATACCTTCCTTGCCCATCGGCGATTTCAAAAATAACTTAACCCCTGCAGCAACAAGCGTTAACTTCCATTCAGCCCCAAAACTCCATCGCCAAGTGATACTCCGAAAATTATATGGTACACCTGGCCATCTGGTGTACATGTACACCCGGTATTTTTGTAATATGTATCAACTTTAAGCCTGATTCTCTCTTCTCTGCTCTGCCCGTTACTTTTGTATATTAAGGATGTTTTTACTTGGACTGTAATTCGTCTCAGACCAGATCAGACCACATCAGACCACACAAGTTCAGACCAGACCAGACTTGGATAGTTATAAAAATACAAAGAAACCAGACCAGACCAGTATAGACCAGACCAATACAGACCAGACCAGATCAGACCAGACCAGACCAGATCAGAATAGACCAGACCAGCAAATTACAGTCCAAGTAATTTGCTTGACATTTTTTTTTACTCATTCTTTTATTTCGTTGCTTTGACATGTCTTTTTGCTTCTTACTTTTCGTCCAAATTAGAAGATATGAATTAGGAATCGTGATACTCATTGTTAGTCTCTTAAATACTCAATAAAATAGGTTTGATGCTCTTTAAAAGTACAATATTGCTCATTTAGCGGAAGTCGTGATTTTTCGCTTACATTACAAAAATGCCACCGATTTTTTTTTGACATAGAAGTATATTAGTCTTTGGACCGTCTTTCTTACTTGGGCCGGGTGTACCGTATGCACTATATATGAACTCGTGATACTCTGGCCTTCTCCCCCTCTCTGCTGCAGAAATACTTGGGAAGGAGGTGCGGTTTGAAATCAGCACCTCACTTTCGCAGTCTCGTCGACGAACAAAAATTTGTTGAATACTTACATGTCAGCTACTATGGTGGCCCGTGGCTCTTCCATCTATAGTCGCTGCTCCGGCAACTACAATTGAGAGGTGTGGCCGCTACCGATGCTTCTCCCGTCATGGAAGAGAAGACGGAGCTATCGATCAATTGCATAGCAATTCGGTAATTCCAACGATTGCACCGGTATGGTTAGTGACGAACAATTTTCTGAAATCAAATCATATCTTTCCTTTTCATATGTTTCCTATGCTTTTTACCTCCAAATTTCCTAAGACGCCATTAAAGTCATTCGAAGCTATTTCTAGATCACAGTTATGCGATTTCTTTGTTGACCAAGCTTGATAGTGTATACAATTACTCCGTATATCTTAACTCGAATGTGAATGTGTGGATCTTATTTCACCAGCTATTTGCTTTCATCTCGTTTAAGTTGAAGCTATATTAAATGATTGAAGGTTATTATTATGATTGATTCTAAAAAAATTGCAAGTAATATGCATATTGGCAACTCGCATTTCTTATATGACTATTAATAGCTTTGTAATAGGAGTAACTATCATCACAGATGGCATTGACGATGGTGATATTTGGCATATGCACCCCCCTACGCGGTAGTGCATTTAATTGAACTCAAGCTTCCAATAGTAGCTTTACTTTCTCTTCCCATCTTTATGACGTATGAGGTCACCGAAGCTTCTTAGTAGGGGAAACTACTTGATCAGTAATAGTTGCATGCAATATACTTGCAGTTATTACCCTCTCACACGGTTTATCCACACCACTATGAACCCCTTCATATTCATATTTTTCTTCAATAATTGCTTTGTGTCATATGGTGAAGGGTTGAAACTACATTCTTTCTTTTTGACATTTAAATCCTATTGTAAGCTGTAAGTTTGAATGCATCGGGAATTCCTATGAGGGTGGTTTAGAGATTGTCTAATTAAATCATATTACTTGTTCTAGGGATTAGATTCTGATAGTATGATACTACCTCCGTCCCTCTATGATTGTCCCATTTTACCTTATCGGTCCGTCCCACTAAGATTGTCTCATACCAAATTTGATAAATTTTGTGTGGCTCTAAATCTTTCTTACTTTATTCTTACTTTATCAATTCAATATCAATCACATAAACTACTCTTTATTAACTTGCGTGTCACTCCCTCTTGTCCCATTCTTAGCGGGACGGAGGGAGTATGTTTTATCTCTTACCATGTTCTTGCTCTTAATATTCAACCACCCATATTTTTGTTCCCTAGAATTATTTAGATTACACCTAATGTTATTTGAATTGACACAAAGTTGTGGACCTTGAGGTTATGCCTTGACTACGGACTCCTTTGGGATGAAATGATATCCATGCCCATGGTTATATTAGTGAAATCTAACAAAAAGTATGTCTATTTCTTTCTTGAATGTCATTGTCACTAGATATGTTTATTTCTCTAAAAGATACTAATACTCTTTTACTCCAGAGTGTTAAACTGAAGTTTTTAGAATTAGTTCGTTGTCAATTTTTAATACACAATATTGGTTTTCCTGTGTCCTCAGCAGGTCTGGACTATGTGTTCACTTTTGAGCATGTTTTTAGCCTATTTTTGAAATTTTTCCAATCGCGTGTTCTTAATTTTCAACAAGTCTGTTATAGAGTAAGCATATATGTTCTATTTTGATGGTACTCTTAAATTCTTTTCCCCACTCTTATCACAGTTTGTGATCTCTTTTAATAATAAAATTCGGTCAATAATTATCTTTGTTGTATATCGTTCAAGAAGAATGCACGATTTTTAGCAGAAGTTGCAGAAAGCACCGAGAGATGCAATTCCATTCAAATGCACTTAATCCTCCATACTAGATTTTGAACAGCTCACAACAGAAAGGAATTGTACAAGGACTACATCTCATGTCCCTAAATACACCACAAAAAGATATGAAGGACTAACTCTATATTCCACCACATGGTCAACATTAAGTCAAACAACTATATGAAGTGATCATTATTGTCTAAGACTCATCAACCAGCTTCATATGTTCTTCAAACCATCACTGGTGGCAGTACCATTATTAGGGCTCTTGTTGTTTGTATTCTTCTTCAGTTTTAGCCTCTTGAGTGTTATGTTGTTTCAGTTTATGAATATAAAAAACTATTTTGGAGTTTATAATTTTCCATTTTTTACAATATATACATTTTTTAAAAATTCTATAGCATATTTACACAGATAAATCTTTAAGTTTTCATTTACAATAGGGTATAAAAGGTTGTAAAAGTTTAAAATTCAGATTTAAATTTTGAAATAATTACATAAATATGATCAAAATAAAGATGATTTACAAAAATATGACTAATGATTAGAGTAGTAATGAAATCATAGTAATTCATGTTCAAGTTTTGAGCTTAAGTTACCACAACACCACATTGTAGTAATGAATAGTCATATTTATGTAAATATTTTTATTTTAGTAATATTCTTGTAAAAAATCCTTAAATTTTAGGGTAATACGGAGTAATAAAGAGCGAGACCATGTAAAAGAGTGTCATGCAGTCCTCATCTATAGTTACGTACTTAAGGTAGAGTGTGTCTTCTAGGCTCAAGTCTATTATTGAAAAGAAAAACTTAACTGGTCTACTTTTGAAAAAAAGTTTGAAAATTGAAAAAAGTGATACTCCCTCCGTCCCGATCATTTCTTCCAATTTTTCTTTTTGGGCTGTCCTAATTAATTCTTCCAACTTCCACTTTTGGAAAAAATATGTGGTTCACATTCATTCACCTTTTTCTTACACAACTACAACAATACATTTTCACTTTATTCTCACTACCTAAATTTGCGATACCGGTCAAAACCGGAAGAAATGACCGGGACGGAGGGAGTATTATTTTCACCTTTTGGTCTATTTGTGTAAACTTCCCAAAAGTATACAATGATCCTATAGTGGGTTGGAAGAGTGGATATTTTTACTTAGTGCTGTTTGCAGTCTCAGAGTAGACCAGATTGGATTTAAATAGATCAGACTAAATCAGATGATATCATAGTTATAAAATACACAGAGACCATACATTTGTGTTAACATATAAATATGCAAGTAAATTTGTTAAGAAACCTAAATTATACATAATAACTTCATGTAATTTGGCAATTAAATTTGTCCATATAGTGGGTTTCGCGCATGAAGAATGCTAACACAAGGGAGTTTGACGCATTTCTTAAATTACAAGGGCCTAATGCGCAAAATTTATATATCAAGGAGAAGTTTGGTGCATTAAACCTAGGGGTGGATCCGTTTCGGAACTGGGTCCGACACTGTTTGGACCAATCATGTCCCGAATTTGATCCTAACCCGCGATGTTTTTTCTAGACTAGGAAACGGGCAAAAAAAATAGAATGCAACCGGATATCCACGGGTCGGATTTATGTCGGATGAAGGCTCATCTGTCCTCCACCTGTTAATTTTTCATAATCCACCCATCCGTCCATCATCTATTAAAATTTGCATCCACATCTAACCAATCCATCATGAACGGGTTATCGGTGGATCGGGAGAGTAATGAGTGAATACAAAAGGTCAAACTTAAGACAAAATAAATAAATTATAAAGAGAAATCATGACATAAATTAAGAATTCATTGAAAAATAACTACAAAAACTTGAGCAATTAAGTATATTACAATCATTAATTCACTGCTGATGATAAATAAAGAACTAATTGTCAAACAAAATAGATATAAAATTTCTTCAAGTTGTCAATTCTACATTTCTGCATCAACACAAAACTATTTTTGCAGTTCAACGGGATTAGGGTCGGGCTCCTATTTTAGTCGCTACAATGCTACTTCGTTGTTACATAGTATCTGTTAATATATTAATATTAACTATTATTATTATTAGTAGTAGTAGTAGTAGTATTAGTATTATTATTATTAATTTATTTTATTAAATAGATATTATAATATATGTATATATATTTATATGCGGGTCAGCAGATGCGAGTGGATGGAGCGGATGACGGGTCGGGTGATGGGTTGGATGAGTGTTCATCCACACCCGATCCAACCCGTCTTTCAATCCACCCGTCATCCATTTTTCATCCATGTTTCTTCGGATTGATCGGGTATCCACGGATGCGAGTGATATTGCCAGCCCTAAGCTTTACAAAGTCACAAAAACCGAATTAAATTTGATAACAATATGATATATAAAGTAAGAGATTAAGAGTGATTTGTGTTGACTAAGTGAATAAGAAATGGAACATTGTTAGTGGAACGGAGGGAGTATAATATACTAACAACATGTGAAAGTTCTTCATGTTATTGTGTCGAGACAAAGGCTCTCCAAAGAAGAAACTTGTGAGTACCAAAAAGATTTCTAAAGTCCAAATAAACTTCTAAACTAGTTTCCCAATTCTTTGTTCCAGATGCATCAAATTTGCTTTATTTCATATTTTTTTATAAATTAAGACTCTTACTCAATGAGAATTGTGGCATATTAATTTTATTATCTCAATTTTACTTATATTTTGAGATTATTAAACTTTAAAGTATTTTCTTAGACAAATATTTGTAGCGACTATTTTCTTAGAATGATTTTGTGGGGTTACCGTTTTAGTTTATGGATGATGATGTCTAACTTTCTAGATTTGAAAATTTGGGTTTATTTAAGTTGAATGATTATATGCTATTTCATTTATATATTTATGGTTAGATATTTTGTTAACTAATTCAAAAAGTTGTTTTACGATGACATTGATACTATTTAGTTTGAGAATGTTATTACTTACTCCCTCCGTCCCTTAAAACTTTGTCATCTTTCCTTTTTGGGACGTCCCAAATAACTTTGTTACTTTCCCTTTTAATCAATTATTTTGTGATTTGTGTTATTTCTCTCTCCTCTGCACAAACCTCAACCACATAGTTTTTACTTTATTATTCTCCGTATAGCAAAGTATTAAGGGACAGAGGTAGTACTAAATACTTTGCTAGTATAGCAATGCTTTTTTACGAAAAAGAAAAGAATCAAGAACCCAAACAAAACCGGACCATTTCAAACGGGGTAGGACCGCAGGTTAGATCCGATTCTAATTTTGAAACTTGGTATACCCGAATCAAACAAACCCATTAAATAGAATTGATGGTACTTGAATATCTATGAATTACCAAGGCCAATTCGAACCGTGCCTACTCATAATGGCAAGTCTTCAGGTAAACACGCTAGCATCTATCCAAGCATCTCCGGGTAAACATGCTAGCATTTAGTGATGAAAATTCCCTAGACCGAAAATTTCCAAACGTCTTTACTCACAGTGTAAAGAAAATCAAATTCGATCTCAAGGTGATAGATGACCAAAAGAGTAGTAAATTCTCATTACCTTCTAATAATTAAATATGGGGTATTTATAGATACCCAATACATGCTAAAGAACTCTTCCTATATAATTAGAATTATGCCAGTAAGTTGGAAACCTATTCCAACGCTACCAACCAATTCCAACACTAATACTACTTTAGTAATAATAATTAATAATAACAATACCCAAAGAATAATTAAAATAAATATTGAATCCTAAATTATGTAGTCCTGCAACTTAATATTGCTTCAGCGCAACCTCTTACTTTGACTGGTTTTGATATCGTCTTCATAATTGCTTCCCTCTCGAAGACGAACCTTGTCCTCAAGGTTGAAATGTGGAAACTATTGTAATGTCTCAACCGGTTCCCATGTTGCCTCCTCCGGGCTAAAAGATGCCCACTGTACCAATGCTTCCTTGATTTCTCCTACCCTGGTTCGAAGGTGCCAGAAGCGAAGTACTCTCTCGGGTTCAAAAATAGGTTGTCCATCCGCAACATATGGGGGCAGTGTAGGATTGGCGACAAGCTGTGAATTCATGCATTTTTTAGGAGCGACACATGGAAAATAGGATGAATACGGGACTCAGGTGGTAACTCCAGCCTATAAGCAACATCCCCAAGTTTTTCTAGGATGGTAAAGGGCCCATAGAACCTACATGCGAGCTTCTGGCTCACTCTTCGAAACACAGACTGTTGTCGGAACGGTGTAATTTTAATTACACCCGATCACCAACTTCAAATTGAACCTCCCGTCTTCCGGCATCAGCGAGTTGTTTCATTCTGTTACTTGCTTGAATAAGGTTCTTTCGCAAAGCTTGAATGATTTCTTCACGAGATGTGAGTTGACCATCGACCTCAACTACTGGTGACTCACCATTGGGATACGATCTCAGCAGGGGTAGAGTTCTCCCATATACAACCTCAAAAGGTGTCATGTTAAGAGATCAGTGGTAAGTGGTGTTATACCAAAGGTCCTCTGTTGTCTTTTGATGGATTTCATCCCAAATGGCCCATAGAGGGCCTGATTTAGCAGTAATGGTGTTCAAGGACTCTTGATCAGATGGCTCCCAACGGGAAAGAGCATCAGCAGCATTATTAGCCTTCCCAGGCTTGTAGATAATGACATAATCAAACCCCAACAATTTGGATATCCACTTTTGTTGCTCGGGGGTCGTAATTCTTTGCTCTAGAAGATATTTTAAACTTTTTTTGTCTGTAGCAATAGTAAAACGTTGTCCCAGGAGATAAGTCCTCCATGTGCGAACGGCCTCAACTACTGCAAACATCTCCTTAACGTATGTGGACCATTCTCGTTTCGTAGGACCCAAAGCCTTGATCATGAACGCCATTGGGTGGCCCTTTTGGGATAAAACCGCTCCAATTCCACATCCGGATGCATCTGTCTCTATTAAAAAGTCAGTGGTGAAGTCTGAAAGTGCAAGTACGGGAGTGCTAGAAACAGCCTGTTTGAGTAGAGTAAATGCCTTGTTGGCTTCGTCGATCCAGAGAAATTTTCCCTTTTTTAATAGTTGTGTCAAGGGTTGCGCTATCAATCCATACTCTTGGACGAACTTTCTGTAATAGCCGGTCAACCCCAAAAAACCCCTTAAGGTCGTGATGTTCCTCGGCACAGGCCATTGGAGCATAGCCTCAATTTTTCTGGGGTCCACTCGCACCTCGTCCCTTGATATGAAATGCCCGAGATACTCCACCTCCATTTGGGCCCAAAACACTTAGAGGGTTTGATGTAAAACTGATGGTGTTGGAGGATTTCAAGGGTGATTTGTAAGTGATTGAGATGATCCTCTCTGGTACGACTATAAATAAGGATGTCATCGAAGAAAACCAAGATGAAATTGTGCAGGTGCGGTCTGAATATATCATTCGTGGCTGCCTGAAAAGTAGAAGGAGCGTTGCATAGTCCAAATGGCATAACAAGATATTCATAGTGTCCGTTATGGGTTCGAAAAGCTGTCTTATGGATATCATTAGGGTGAACTCGAATCTGGTGGTATCCTGCCCTTAAATCCAGCTTAGAAAAGTATTGTGCCCCATGTAATTCATCAAGCATGTCGTCAATGGTTGGAATGGGAAAACGGTCCTTGATGGTAGCATCATTTAACGCCCGGGTTCCATCCTTTTTCTTCGGTACAAAATCTCCAAGTTCCATCCTTTTTCTTAACGAGCAAAACCGGAGAAGAAAAGGAGCTTGATCTTGGTTGAATGAATCCCAGTTGTAACATCTCTTGGACCAGTTTTTAAATATCGGCCTTCTGAAAATATGCGTAGCGGTAAGGTGCGACATTCACAGCTTGACGATCATCCTTTAACCTGATCTTATGATCAAACATGTGTCTGGGAAGTAGAGACTTAGGAGCTTCCAGTAATCCACTGAATTGCTTTGATATGGATTGCACATCGTCTGGTGGTATTGTTTGAGGCAGGACCTCACGACCCTCGATTGGGCTCAGACTCGTTAGTATGTAAAGTTCAGCCCCATGTTGCCAATCCTCTAATAGAGCATGAGCAGATTCCCAACCTGATATCATGGGAGCATTAGCTCGTATGGGATGGTTGTTTCCAGCGACTTCATACTCCATGGTCATGTTGTTAAAATCGACAATAATCTTTCCAAGGCTTTTCAACCACTGCATCCCAAGAACGAGGTCCATTCCGGTGATTGGCAGTGCATATAGGGTTGTTCGAAAGTCGTATCCCTGGATGTTGAGGGGCACGTCTTCGAATTTTTCATGGCACCAAAGGCAGTCTCCATTAGCAACTCGTGCTGCAAAGGGTTGAATTTATGTAATAACTAGCTTTAACCGGCCTGCAACTTCTGGATTGATAAAGTTATGCGTTGATCCTGAGTCAATTAAAATGTTGATCAGTAGGTGTTTAATTCTCCCTTGAACCCGCATTGTTCGTGCACCACAGCCTCCCGCTAATGTGTGAAGAGAGATTTCAGGATGTTCATCATTGGCCATAGAGTCATCCAAATTATGTTCTTCTTCCAGGACATTGGTATTCTCTCCCTCGGCTTCAATGATGAATTGGGAAGCTTTGCACCGGTGACCTGGAACAAATCGTTCATCACAATTATAACACAAATTTTTCTCTTCGAGCCCACATCTCTTCTATAGATAGCCTCCGCGGAGTGTTCGGGATGGCTGGTTTTTGGGTGTTAGTTCCTGGAGTGGTAGCTAAAGTTGCTCGCCCTCCCAGGGATTTCAGAAAAGTTACAGCTGATCTCACCTTACTCCGCCGCTGTTTCTCGTCAATTCTACGCGTTAATTCCATTGCTTCGGGTAATTTTTTTGGATTAAAGAGGCGGACATCTAGGGACAGTTCTGTCTTCAAGTCTCCAAGGAAGGTTCCTAGTAGAACCTTGGTAGTCCACCCCTTCACACGAGTAAAAAGTCTCTCGAACTCTTGTAAGTATTCCCGGTATGAGCCAGTCTGTCTGATCTTACTAAGTAATTCATCATAATCTTCAAAATCTGTAGGCCCAAATCGTTTCAGGATTCCCTTCTCAAACCGCCCCCAGGTAATCTTACGATGTTGCTGATTATTTGAGAACCATTGCCACCATTTATTGGCCTCTCCCTCGAAATGAAACGATGTCAGTAGCAATTTTTTTATCCCTGAATGCTTTTGACGTTGAAATACTGTCGGACTCGGTCCAGCCATACCTCCACTTCGTTCCCAGAGAATTTGGGAAAATCTAGCCGCAACCGTTCATGTAGCTCCTCTGTTTTGGGCCCCTTGCGATTAAACCTTCTGTTATTAGATTCGGGCTCCTCGGAAGACTTATCCGTCGAGCTCTTGCTTTATGAGGAAACCTCCAGAGATGATGATGATGATGATGGAGATGACGAGTCATATTTAGGTTTCTTCCTTCCAAATCTTTTCGGTTATTTGGATCTTTTGGAGGAAGCCACCTATGCAGATCATCTTCCAGCCTTCTCATTCTTCAAACTTTCCATGTTGATGGATAGAGTATTCAAAGATGCGGTTATGTGGGCGATTGAATTTTCCAGTTTTTCCAGATGCTCTCGATTAGACATCGTTAATCGACTACCCGGGAACGAATGCTCTGATACCAATTGATGAAAATTCCCTAGACCGGAAATTTCCAACTGCTTTTACTCACGGTCTAAAGAAAACCAAATTCGATCTCAAGGTGATAGATGACCAAAAGAGTAGTAAATTCTCATTACCTTCTAATAATTAAATATGGGGTATTTATAGATACCCAAAACATGCTAAAGAACTCTTCCTATATAATTAGAATTCTGCCAGCAAGTTGGAAACCTATTCCAACGCTACCAACCGATTCCAACACTTTTTTTTAATGTGTTTGGGCCCCTCAAGAAGGAGGCCCTCCAAAAATGGGAGTATGCCACATATTGAAACGAACACAAGGTATTCTTTAGTAAAAGGCGAAAGAATAGTTCGCTTTGGGTTCATCACATGGCTGCGTCCAACCGATTCCAACACTAATACTACTTTAGTAATAATAATTAATAATAACAATACCCAATGAATAATTAAAATAAATATTGAATCCTAAATTATGTAGTCCTACAACTTAATATTGCTTCAGCGTAGCCTCTTACTTTGTTTTGATATCGTCTTCATCATTTAGCAGAAATGCTTCTTATCATGAATGAGGGGTTCTCTAGAAAACTCTAGGCAGCCTATGAATAAAAGTATTTCTTTCAAAAAAAGGAGTTTGGTTAAACTTACACAGGCTCGTGATTTTCACCACATTTGGATTCTCATGTAACAACATTTGTGTTCTTTGATTTTCTTATATTCGTATCTTTATGTTGTTATAAACCGATTGATGGTGTTCTTGAACTTGGATATAATTTGGTACCAATTACACCAACAAGAGGAAGTGAGATACAATTAAGAAATTGGTGCAAAATTTTAAGATATAATTTGCTTTGTGCTGAAAATATCTATTATCATGAAATCATACTGTCATATTATGAAGGACATTAATATGACAATACTAATGCCCTAATATAAGAATATGATTTCAGAATAACAATATTGATCCTTATTTAAGAAATCACTTTATTATTACTTCTTTTGTATATCACTTTATTATTACTCTTATTTAGGGCAACCTAGTTTAAAAATAAAAGGCACGCCTTGCCCCGAAGGGCAGGGAATTTCAGAGAAAAAGTAGTATTGGTTACTGGAATTGGAAAAACTGAGGTATTACAATCAGAATGAAGGGGTTGTTCATATAATTACCAATAAGGATCTGAAAGCTTTTATTGATCTATAGCCAAATTGCCATAAACATTGCACTAAAGTTTAGTGCCTCCACCATCAGACATGAGAGAAGCAGCAGCTGCCGCAGCCGTAGGAACAACCCCAGTTGAGTTGCCTGGTTTCGACAAATGCAGCAGCCTACACGTGAACACAAATTCAGAAGTTATCGATGCAAAACAGTCCCACAAATTTAGAATTAGGGGCTCTTTCAAAAGGCCTACATTTTCTCAAAGTGAAATGTTCAGTAGCATCCAATTAAGCCAAAAGAGATCAAACGATACTTAATTTGTCAATTGATGCTAAGCAGAATAACCAAAGTGTTCTACTAAGGGAGTGTTTGAGATTGCGTGTGCTTCTCAAAAGTGATTTTTGGTAAAAGCATGTAGTGTTTGTACAAAAGTGATTTTTGATGAGATATTTTGTGAAAGAATCAAGCAAGATGAAAATAATCAGAATGATTGAAAATATCAACTTAAGACTTAAGATATCATTAACTTTGAACTTTTATGTTTTAATTAATATTTATATTCTTTGATTTGCTGAAATTTATATATTTTCCATTGAGGAAAATTTATTAAAAAGGTTTTCAGGTGCTTGATTGATAGCTGACTTTTATTCCAGGTCCGGAATCGAAATAATCCCCCACACATATACATTATTACAAATTTATGTGTGTGAGCCAGAAAAAGACTACAATTATCACCTTCAAAGAAAAAATGACACCTAATCTCAGTTTTCTCATTATTAACAAATTCAACAGGCTCAAATGAAAAAAGTTGGTAGACAAACAGCCACTAAAAGTTTATGACCAGTTTCTTCTCTAAGTTAAAAACTCAAAACAGAAGATGCCATTCAAATCTATAAGGTGAAAAGTGAAAGGTGAAACCAGTAGTAGAGGCACTTACGGTGCAAGATATTCACAGAATGAAGAAACAGAAGCAGCAACTTCTGAGTAGTTTTCAGACGATGCAGGTGCCGTCACTTCGACTAGTTGTATGCCTGGGGTTACAGGTACAGCATCATCCGTGGAGTGCAGTTTAAGCATCTTATTTATGGACGATACGGTGACAGTTATGTTTGCTCCTCTCTGGAAATGGAACCCAAACCCAACTCTCAATAACTCGTGGTCTAATTTGTAGCCGAGGCAGTTAAAGACTCGGAGTGCGTTCTTGCTCACTTTGCTTTCTACCACTGTTCTCACTAGAACTGAGATCTGATCAGCACCAGATCCTCTCATTGCTCCGCCAATGTGTCGTACAGTCCTGAGAACTTGGTGTTTTTAGATGGAACTTAGGCTCTGTTTGTTTCCAGCAAAATAAGTTGTTGTGGAACAATGTTTTCCCATGGATAATAAGTTCTTTTTATGTTTAATAATAATACTACGTATAATGTTTTACCTACAAAAAACAGAATCTGTTTCAGGAAAAAAGCATCCAATTTTCAAAACATTGTTTTTTGTGACAAAAATGCATCTGTTTGGAACTCCAAATATGCTTGAACAATAAAATAGGGAGGACAACATAATGAAATTAGGAAAAGAGAGAAAAATATATTTGTTCAAACTTGATAATTTTTTATTTTATTTCTTCACTCATTTTATTTCCATATTTCCATTGTATTAAGAATAGAAATAATTACATATTTATGATTAAAACAAAGTTTGTTTATAAAAATGTGACTAGTGACTAGAGTAGTAGTGGAATCATAGTAACTTATGTTCAAATGTTAAACCTAAGTTACCATGACACTACATTTTAGTAACTATTAGTCATATTTGTTTAAATAAATTTTATTTTAGTAATATATTTGAAAAAACCCTAAAGAATAACAAATCTAAACATATGTACAACTTTTGAAAATACTAATCACCTTTCATTCGCCTTTATATTTCCGTGGTTAAACCAAAGACATGAAAGGAACTTCTCTTAGCATTTTGTTTTCCTTTCCCTAGCATTTCCAGGACCCAAAGTTAACCTAAAATCAAGTAAAATATTTTACTCCACTATAATGTTTTCTATTGTGAAAATGTAGGGAAAAAATATTTACCTGAGCAAAATAAAACAACATGATAAAATAGTTTCCAAAAAATCCTTATAAACATGCAGAGCCTTACCAAGTGGGTTCAGGTTGCTCAAGATCACATATGAGGCGAATTTCAGAGCCTACTAACCCTGGAAAAAATAATAACTTGATTAACAGCATTTACTGATAATTTTGAAGAAAAAAGACATACTAGCATTCAAAAATCACATCCACCGCATATAAAGGCCATAATAGTCACCTAAGTTTGACACACTTTTAATGCATAATTCATGTATCCTTAGGCATTCTTTATGAACACCGCAAAGTCCTTGAAGTAGAATCTCAAGAGCTTCCACATGCTGCAGGGAAAACAAATACGGAGTAAATTTTAATTCTGAAACTTATCAGTACTTCAGTCCTGGTAGTAACTTAAATGTCAACAAATGTTGTCCCCCAAGTCAAATCTCCATGATATCGAACTCTACTGAATGATATAGGATGCATTACCCAGTTTACAACTTTAGTGTATTTCTTTAACCCCAATGCATCAAAATCCTTTATTGGATTTAATTTGATGATGAAGATGTCCTCGGTGATGCTATTATGTTCTCAATTTAACACTCTATTATTTGATTTGTTATTTAAATCGCATCAAATTTGCAAAACTCCAATACTAATTTGGATTTTAGAATTTAAATGTGTTGTCCAATGATTGATTGAAAGTTTGAAACATAATTAATAAATAAAATAGTGTAAAACGACTTGTTTTAGACTGGTCTGCATCTAAAATAAGTCCGAAGTAAACAGAATTCAGATAAACAAAGAAACTTACTTGGGTCTCGATAATTCCCTGAACAACGCACTCCATTCTGCGTCACTCGTGCACGAAGTCGAGCAGGCCAATTAATGGGATACGCAGCTTGGGGAAGAAATCAGCTGGAGAAGAACGCAAACAAATTAATGGAGAGAGTATACACGACTAATCTCAAATTTATAACTTCATACAATAAATTAAAATAATTCAGTTATGCGATCGTATAAAATGAACTGTTTTGATTTTTAACCATTACATACCTATTGCATTCGAATTTTGAATTATCACCAGCTTGGTGCAAATGTAAGATTCTTTTTTTAGTAAAAAAATCGAAAAACAACCTGATATTTAAAAGAAGCAGGCGAAATAGAGCCGAATCAGTAAGTTTTTTTTGGGGAAGAAGAATCAGTAAGTTAAATTAAATAACATAATATGACCAAAAATATACTTAATAAAAAGATCTAAAGATGGAGGTAGCGAGACTGAAGATGGAGGCTACCTGTTTTGGATGCGGGAAAACGATGAAGGTTGAATTGGAAGGCAGAGCCGAATGGAAAACATCGGAGTTGGGCTTTAGCCGAAATGTTGAATATTAGCTTTTCGTGATAGGTCAATAGGCCCAAAAAGTAGGCTCGACCCGTCAAAATAATGGGTCGAAATGTCAAATACATGTCCAAATCCGGTTCAATCATTTGCAATGGAGCCAAAGATTCATTATTTTTTGGCTTGAGATTATGATGGAATAAAGCAAAATGACTCACTAAACTGTCTGCGCTTCTTTGTTATGGAACAGTAGTCAGTCAATGCAATTTTGGACGCGATTTTCACTATGGGTCATCCGAAAACAGTCTCTCTGTGCTTTAGTACAGGGGTAAGACTGCGTACATCCGACCCCCTTACCCCATCGTAGGTGGGAGCCTTTGCGGCACTGGGGTAAATGAAAATGAAAATGAAAATGAACATATCATCTTTCAACTCAAAACGGTACTTGTGTTCCCCTAATCCTGAAGTCTGTTGACTATCCTCCAAAGCCTCTAGACAGTCAAATTCGGATATTATCACAGTCAACCTTCGTCGATATTGGTACCATAGGACGAATCCAATAGGATTTCCTTTCAACTGAATTCAGAAGGATCCTCCTACTATGCAGAGCTTCCTTTCATCTGTATTAAGAAGGGTCCTCCCACCGCTGTACAAGGTAGGAAGAATCATTGGGATCAAGACCTCCCTCTTCTCTCCTGAATGTGCCTAGCGGGATTCAAACTCAAGACCTCCGCTAGGATACGGTAACCTCTCGTCCAGTGAGCTGGAATGGTTGGTTGAGTATACGTCCTCTTCTATTTTGTTTTAAGTGAACCGAGAAGGTAATTATTTTGCTACACCCATGTAAGATCTCATGATGTGTATATATTTGGATGGAAGGTCAAGAGATATGCATTCACTTCATAAATTTGTATATATGTTAAGCATTGTTAATTTAGAGACAACTGAGTTTTGCTTATTCGACTTGTGACCCGGCTCACAAAGATTTCAAATTCATTGTTTTCAGTGTTAAAACTTTGGCCAACTGGCTAAGAACCTTACTATTTGATGACATTATTATATTGATACCTTCTAAAGTATATACATATAGGGTATGTTTGGCAAATGGCTTATCAGCCAGCTTTTAGCTTGTTTGACCCATTTCAACTGTTTGATTAGTCAAAGAAGCTAATAATAATGTTTGGTAAATGGCTTTTAAAATTAGCTTGTTGAGTTTGAAAAGCTGAAAAAATGGATTGTGGAAGAAGCTAAGGGGAGCAACTTCTTCATTTGGCTGGTTCAATTTACACTCTATCAGCCATTTCGAAAGAGTCAATTTTACCAAACAGTTATTTATAATCAGCCAACATAACCAGTCGGTCAAAACAGCTAACACAACCAGCTGTTTCACAACAGCTGACACAACCAGCTACCAGCAACAGCTAACAACCATTTACCAAACAAGGCCATAGTCGTGTTAAGTGTTAGCGATACTACAATAGTATGACATTTACCCCCAATATAGTAATCAATTAAACGGAGTAGTTTCTTGCTCCACCACTTGATGTTTCGTTTCATTTAACAAATGAACAACCTGATTCACTATAACCTATATATTGTTACTCCCTCCGTTCCTATTTTATCTTCCAAATAGATTTGTCACACAATTTAAGATAGTGGGTATTGTGTGGTGGAAAGTTGTGCAGAGGAGAGAGAAATGTGTAAGAAATGTTGTCAACCACAAATTCTTTACTAAAAAGGGAAAGTGGAAATTTTAATTGGAACGGACGAAAAAGGAAAGTTGGAAGTTTTAATTGGAACGGAGGGAGTATAAGCTTAAATTAACTTGGCATTACAGGCCTACTAGATTCTCACCAGTGCGATGCACAGAACAAAATTTAGTAAAATAATATCGTACTTCTTTCGTCTCAGTCTAACATTGTCCCATTTTTCTTTTTCAAAAAGTCCAGCTAAGATTGTCTCACAACAAATTTGGTAAAGTTTGTGTGATCATAAATCATTCTTAATTTATTTGTATTTTATCAATTCAATAAAGTTGGACTTTTTAGCAAGAATCCAACACATGATAAAGATTAGAGAGAGACCAATAAGTTGACGTTGTGGCGTAAGATAGAAATTATAATTTCAATAATTAGCTCGATAAGAACAATGACTTTTCTCAATGTTATGATCAACATTTTATGTCCAATATGAAATGAAAATTCTCAATATACGTTTCATGTTGATATGATCTGGCACCAACATTCTTATAGGAAAACCTAGTTTTGAATGAAATTATATAATCACAATATTACAATATTATCATAAAATTAGAAAAGATCAACCAAACCATATATTTCGAATAATTTTAACACAACTCAGATAAATAAATTCATAATTAATTAAATAGTCACCAAACGGACTCTAAGGTTGAAGATACTTTTGTGACTGTATTGATTAAAGTTACTGTTGATGATTATTTTAGCTATTTTTTCATACAATTATTTCTTTATTTTATTAATAAAATATATTATAAATATTTTTTCATAAATCATCAGAATCTGTCAATCCAGTCACTTCAGTGAGAACTTCATAAATTTCAACCGAAGCAACCAATTTAGCAGATTCCGGTGTTACCAAATGACTCTTAAACTTATGTTCAGCTCTTACAATATACGTAGTATTTTTTTGTTTAGAATACCTCATTTCTCTATTCTCTAGAATTTATTTTATTACTCCATCATTTATCTAATCTATAGAATTTTCTTTTTTCATGTCCAACCTTTTCCTTTCTCTTTCCCTTTCCAAATCACTCACCTCACTGCATACCTTATCCCTCCCCACTTCTCTAATTCTCATTCCTATGCATCACATCTCCCACTTTCATAGACACATTTCTCTCCTCTTCGTCGATTAGAAATGTTTACCCATGTATTCCTCCATCGAAGTTTATAATCGTGCATATTCTATCTAGCTTTTAATTCACCTGTTTTAACCTCAATTTATGCAAATTTGTGCCCACTTTCCATCTCGTTTCTCTTGCCTGAAAGAAGATATATTTGTTTGGATCTCCGATCGAACAGAGTTTATGTCATCCGGCCCGTTTCCAAATCTTCTAAAATGGGAGGTAAAGATGATATAGTCGTTTTTAAATTAAGGCCACATTCCATTTGTTAATCCTCTCATTCGTTCATGTTACAGCTTCAATCCGCTGTTTTTTCCAAATGAAAACGCTGCATTTTGTAGCGGTTTACCGCTTTACTCCGAATCTCAGCAACTCACTCGGTGAGGAAAGTAATTTTATTGACTGTACTGTTCAACATTAATGGACAGTGAAAACGTCACAAATACGGAGTATGAAGTTATTAAACGGCGGATAAAACCTTGTGCATATATCCAACATTATCAGAGATATTGATTTGGCGTATTTGAATGATAAATAGAACACAAATAGGACATTCCACCTCATACTCTATACTGCGAACTGTCGAAAATCTATCAAACATGCATTTATTAACTCTGCCCCTCAATTGACACACAACCCTTCACATAACCCGACCCATTATTTGACCCACATCTTTTGGTGGGAAACTTTTCTACTTTTCCACTCTGATTTGTATATATTAAGATTAAGATTAAGATTAAGATTAAGATTGAGATTAAGATTAAGATTAAGATAAGCGTAGTTTGAAGTTATAGATATGTCCACACTTTGTTGTTTGCCATTTATGTATTTTTTACTGATAATATCTCCTTTCCGAATTAAAGAAAAATATTATGTAATAGAGAAGTTTTAAAGAGTCATACATGTCTCTTTTATGGAGTCACACAGGCGATGTTGACGTTACAATCACCACTAAAAAATGAATGGCGATTGTGATGCCAACATATATAGCTCATGTGATTCCATAAAGGAGTCACATATAGCTCTGTTAAGACTCGGACTTTCATCCTAAAAAGTTAACCTGATAGGAGGAGTAGCCCAAAACTTTATATAGCGTTTTTATTATTTTTATAGTTTTCCGATGTGCGGACAAATACTTCAAAATGGGAAAAAACATGAGAGTTAACAAAAAACTCACTCACTTTCTCAATCTATGACTTCATTAATTTTTTTCTCAAAATAATATTTAAATTCATGTGAACTAATTATATTATTCATTCATAAATCAATAAATTATTTTCTAAAAACTGAGCCACTGGCCTGACACCGCAACACTCGCCGCACCCGCCGCCCCGTCGTTGGGGCACCTCCCCCAGCCATCTTCATGTTGCGGCGTCGCGGCCATTCCCATGCCTTCGAGCCTAAGCGTCGTCGTCGTCTCCATGCCTGCTTGGCGAGGCAGTCACCATGCGCCCACCCGCAGGCGTCTCCGTGTCTGCTTGCCGCGCTGCTGCCTTCGTCCACGTGCCTGCGCACTGCCGCCGCCGTCCTCATGCCGCAACGCCTAGGCTGACCCTATGCCGCAACATCGCGACCGTCCCCATTTGTAGCGCCTACCTGTGGCCGCCGCTGTCTCCCTTGTTGCAGCTGTTCGCATGCCGCGACATCGCCACTATTTAATTTTATTATGAAATTAGGGTTTGTGAATTTAATATTTGTGAACATAGCCAGTGAACATGTACAGTAAATTTGGGCTGTAAAAAATGGCAATGTATTGTTAAATATGGACAGTGAGCATGATATTAGATATTTTTGTACATGGATAGTGAATGAATGCAATGATGAAATGTCTTGTGCAGTGAATCGAATAGAGCAATGACAACGACACAAGGTGTAGTATATTTAACTGGACGTAAAATACTAATTTAAATTTATTATATCTTAAAAAAAGAACTATAACGAAATTCCTAACGTGAATGAGAAGAGAATTAATATTAGCATGCATGCAGTGATTCTTACCGGATGTGCAATAATGTCGTGCAATAATGTTGTGAAGTAAATGCAGTATAAAGTGTAGTATTTTTAATTGGACGAAAATAGTGTAAAATGCACATTTTTTCATAAGGGTATTTTGGTCATAATACATTTTATTATGAACGATTTTTTTTTATATTTGCTTTTCAGTCATACAAATGTC